CTCGACCTCCTCGGCGAACGGGGGAACAGGCACTCCCCCATCGCTGAGTCTCCACCCCGTCGACCCGGCGCGCATGTCCAGCGGCGCCGGGATGTTCGCCAGGAATAGGAGCCAGGACTCATGTTCGCGCAGCGAACGGTGGCCGAAGCCGTTGGTCGCCGCCTCGTCTCCGGGGAAACGCTCTGCATGGCGACGGGCTTGGGAGAGGTAGAGAGGGAGAGGGAGGGGCTGGGCGGCGGCGCTCGGGAGAGGTAGGGGGAGGGGCTGGGCGGCGGCGAGGGGCGGGGCTGGTGTGGGCACAGGCGAGTGAGGCCAGCGGCTATATAGCCGCGCCACGCCCGTGTGACCGCGTGTGAAGGAGGGGAGGCGTCGGCGCGCCGTCCTGTGATGCGCCGCCCGTGAGGAATCAATGGCAAGGCTGACCGGCGGCATCTTTGCCATTGATTCCCCGCGGGAACCGAGGCCGTTGGGGTAAGACGAGGCGCCGTGTCGCTGACGCGGCTGGCCCGTGGCTTTTTCGCGCCAAAACAGCTCGCCCCGGCGTCCCCGGGCGCCCCCCAGCACGCCGGGTTCGGATTGGGTTTGCCGACGCTGTTTTCGGCTCAGGCCAGCGAAAATCGGGCTTCTGGGGATGCGACTGGGCCGTTTTTTCGTCGCCGGCGCAAGAAAATCCTTTGGGAAGGCCTTCCTGGGACGCGGGTGGAGATGCTTTTAGAATAATAAGCAAGTCTGGAGAGATTCCGAATCTGATTCCGGTTCCGGTTCCAAACTGGCCGGTGACCTGCCATCGTCCTTTCAAGTTCGGTCGTCGCCGCTGGTATCGCGTGCCTTCGCCCTTCAGTTCAGGCGCACCGCTCACGTCACGGCGTCACCTTGGCGCTGCTTCGTTCCGGGCAACTCCCCCGTAGACGGTGGATCTGGTTTCAGACTGTAAAGCCAGCAAGACCATGCATGAAATGCATTGCACGCGCCGCGCTCATCTTTTGATCGGATCGATCGGAGGCTTGCTTTTGCGCGTGTCTCCGGTGGCTTTTTAGTGGAGCAAGTTAGTGATGACCTATTCACGTGTGTAAGGCATGTGAAATGGCTGATGCACACGTGACCGTACGCTGCAAACGCTAATAAACTACTACTACTACGTGCGTAGAATTAAAGTAAAATAATAAAACGAGTATATTTTTCGAATCATGCAAGAGAGCTGCTTGCATGATATCATCATTATAGAGGAGAGAAAATAACAAAACCCAAAGGGGTTTAGATACAAGAGCAGAAACAACAAGAGCATCTCGTCCGCAAATTTTCATCTGCATCCGTCCGTGGGTAAGTGGACCGTTTTAATAATAGGTTAGTTCCAAAAAAATTGCATATAAAGCATACAAGTTTAACAATCTAATAGCATGAAATAATAAAAAAAATGTAGATACATTGAAGAAGTATCAAGGACCACCCAGCAAATGCATGTCACGTCCGTCTGAACGCAAATCTAGCCCAAATTTTAGGCTCAAAATGCGTTCACAAGGACAATAGACGGACATGATTTGAGTTTGCGTCGGCGTGTTGGGCTAGCAGTTCTGCCCAGGCGGAGCCAAACGGATAGAAATGGACGAAACACGTCCGCCGTTGGAGTTGTCATTAGTCCAATGCAAGGAGAAAGAGATGAATGAGGCACATGAGAGATAGGAAAGAAGATGTGATATTCTCAAGCATACACAAGATTCATCAACATATAAGCAGAAAATATGTTCTCTACGGTTGAAAATAAAATGATTTAAACCATGTATAAAAATAATAACTAGTTCCAGATTATAGTAAGAAAACATTAAAACAGAACTACATGCATATTGGATACCACACAAATACTATGGGCTAGAAAACAAAAACAACATCGCCCATGAGAAATTTCCAGCACAATCGGAACACACAATTATGCGGATATTTTTTTCAAATAACAGCTGAATAATTAAATAAATTTCAGTCTCTGATTGTAAAATAGCATATCGGTTTTCTATTTGCGCCAACAGATGCTTACCTGGCATCGATTAGTTAAATTCATTTTTACCCACTAGCTTGGGGGTGAGAGCGAACCAACCTGTGATTGGATGGTTAGAGTGACAGTGGTATTCTCAGCCCATCAGGATTCAAGTCCTTGTACCCACATTATTCCTTAATTTATTTTTAGGATTTCCGAGGATGCGCTTTCAGTGGGAGGAGACGTTCCCATTGACGACGATGCACCTATGATGGCTTCATAAATCTCAAAGGTGCCGGTTCATAGAGGTGAGTGTACGCGTGTATGAGCGCTTGCGTCCGTATTGTGTTCAAAAAAAAGTTTGGGTGGGTGGGGGATCCGTGATCACATACGTTGCGAATATCCACTTAGGTGCGGGCTCAGATGAGACCATTGCACCTTATGCTAGACTCACGGGCTCTTTACGAAGGATTAACGGGGTGGTTAGTACCTGATTGGCTGAAATTAAATTAAATGAGGCGGGCCTCCCTTTGAAAATCAGGAGGGCCAATTAGATGAGGGCATGCACGGAGGGTCCGTAGAGTCCGTTGTTTCTTATCCGTGAGTGTAATATTATCGCACCAGTAATGCTACACCGACGGACAATTAGGCATTCTATGTAGTATTATCAGGGGGAGCCAATTAGATGAGGGCATGCACGGAGGGTCCGTAGAGTCCGTTGTTTTTTATCCGTGAGTGTAGTATTATCGCACCAATAATTCGCACACTTCTCCGGCTCTCTGCCAGCGCGCAACTCAGCTGTGAGGCATTCTGCGGTCTCCCGGAGACCACCACCTCCTCCTCCTGCCGTGTGTCAAGTCAACCCCAGCACGCGAGGGTGCTCCCCATGCATGTACGTGAAATACACAATGGCGGCTTGGCCAAGACATTTTATTTCAGGTACAGTAGTAGCTAGCACAGGTACAGATAGATGGAATAATACAGAGAGTCCAATCACAAGCACGCAAGCAAAGCACAAAGCAAGTAGCGACAACTAACACACAAAACATGCATCCTCTCTGAAACACTTAACTCCACACAAACACTCAGCAAATAAAATCACAAACACGGAGAGCGTGGCCTTCGAAGCTATATATGCATAGAATCATGCATCCTCGTCCATTTCCTCATCAGAGCCAGAGTTGTCATCAACCATCAGCCATGGAGTACGCCGGCTATCACCTGGCCCAGCTCGACACCATTATCTAAGCCGTTATTGTTGCCCAGCTCGTAGCCGAGATAATAGCCCCAGAGAAAGTCGGGGATGTGAATAGGATTGGGCTGGAGGAGGGCTGGAGCCTGCTGCCGCGTGTAGTGCTGCGGGCCGTTGGCTCCCCTGGCAAGGTGGCCTCTCTGGCGCAGCACAGAGAGCATCGTCCGCAGCACAGCCACGAAGCCTGGCGGCGGCTGCTGCCGCTGCCGCCGCTGCCTCCGCCGCCGCTGCGGCTGGTGCGTTTGCAACAAGGAATCCCTGATCCGTGTCCTGGTCAACCCGCCGGCGTTGTTGCCGTCGAGCTGCTCCACCGCCTGCAGTACCACCTGCGGAGTAAACCACGGCGGCAAGCAGGGAGGGGTGCGGGACAGCGTGTAATGCTGCCGCCCTCCGACTCCCATCATCAGATTGCCTCTCTTGCGGAGCTCAGAGAGCATCGTCCGCACCGCAGCGTCGAAGCCTGGCGGCTCCTGCTGGTTCCGCTGGTGTCTCTGCATCAGGGAGCCCCTGATATGTTTCCTGGTCCACCCCCGAGCGGCGTTGTTGTTGTCGTTGAGGACGAGCAGCTCGACCCCCTCAAGGACCGCGCGCGGACCAAACCACGGCGGGAGCTGGAGCGCCATGCACTATATCTGAATCAGCTAGCGTTGTTTGAGCGAGAGAGAGAAAGGATGTGGTGGTGGTGGGTGACAAACTGAGGAGGCGGATGCTGCTTAAATAGGCAGCGAGAGCAGCTAGCAACGCGCTTCGCTGCGTATTATATCCAATACGAGCGACACGCAGGGCGACTCCTCACGTGTGCCACGTTGGCTTTCTACAGTGGCTTGAGATTGGAGAGAGAGGGAAGGGGCGACCGTGATTGGGTTCTTTGGGATGGGTTGCGTGCACGCAGTAAAACCAAGCCGGCACTCATTCTCTCGACTCCCCTCCCGCACGCGGCTCATCTCCGCCTACTCTCATGCGCCCTCGAGCTCCGCATCACCATGGTCTCGCCCCGCGTTCGCCGTTGACCTGCCCCACCCTCATTCCGGCCGCGTCCCGTGTGCTCGCCAGCGACGGAGGTGTCCCCGATCTGCACCTGGAGCGAAGAGGGATAGCTGCAGCCACAGGTGATGCCGTCGCCGGGAACGGCTCCTCGTCGTTGTTGACGGGGAGAATGGAGAAGCAGCCGGCAGTGGTGCTGGCGAACGCGCTGGACGGGAAGGTGCCGCCGTGCGGTCACCTCGAGCAGCCATCGTTTCCTGCCGGTGGAGAGCTCCTCCATGGCAGCATCAACCGGATCTGGCCAGACCACATCCATGCTCCTCCTTCGCGGCTTGTGCAGACTTGCATACGGCGATGGTTTCCATGGAGCCGAGAAAGCATCACGTCTGGTATGGCCTCTTCGTCCACTCCTTCTCCCTCCTCCACTCCTGCAGATCTCTCTCTCTAGATTACTTGCGCACAACCTTGTTGATTGTTTTGTGGTCTCACATCGTGGTTCACACAGAAGATCCAAGCTAAGAAACTCGGGAAATCAAGTTGGTGAATAACAGGACATACGATCAGTTTCTTCACACAAAAGGTCCAAATTCTCCTTTGATTTATGCTGGTTGTTTCGGAATCATGAAAAAAAATTCTTCTTATGCTCACATTTTTTTATGCATAATGAATTTTGTTGTGTCGTTCTTTTTATTGCAGCAGGAAAAAAAATCTTGTGACCAAGATTTTTCTGGTGTTTATTGAAATATTTGGTAATGCAGTTTAATGATATCGAGTGCCTTAACCTTTGATTACAAATATAGCACGGGAACAATATCTTTGGTTAGAGCACATTGTATTACATTGAAAAGGGCCTATGTAGCTAATCAGGTATGCTTGCTGAGAGGTCAACGTAGCTAACTTTAGGATGTCAGATTTTACATTTTGTCATGCTTGGGCATAGATAAGATGTATCCATGCTTCTTTTTTTTTGCGTCTGTACCAAAGCTTACCTTTACTATTATAGGACTCTGGCTTTGCATTTTTCTTCGTTTGATGTTACAAATGCATATTTAGGTCCTGTGTCTCAATACCCTAACTTTGTTCTGGTGGTTTTTATTAACCTGCAGAACAGTTACATGCATGATGAGGCAGTGAGTTCAAACAAGACGGAGCAGTGTCAATGGTCACACGCACTGATGGAGATCGAGGTGTCTACCTTCCTATTGACGATCCCATAATTCATCCACTAACTGATGGGTAAGATATGTATTTTGTTCAAATGATCTTCATTATTTTGCAGCATGTAATGCATTTGTAGGGATAACCCTTTTTCTTATTTATTTTTTCCCTGTGCTTTCTGAAGATCAGATTTCGGCCCGTACAATTTCCAGTGACTGGAAGTCTGAAACTGAAGATCACATTGCTTTGGTTCTGATTTCCAGTGTGTGTATTGGTACTAATGCATTGCCCAAGTATTTATTACTATCATTGTACATTGAGTGTATGATTCTCAATTATGATGGTCTGTGATATTCAAACAAGTTGCTAGGTAGCGGTAGACTTCCTCCATGGCATGCCTTTGTTTCTAAAAGCAGGTCAAGACCATCCTTTTTTATAGGTTAAATTTATTTATTTGTTCCTTGCTTGGCAAAAGGCATTGGCGAAGGATGGGGTTTTTATAATTTATTTATGCATCTCTTTTCAACTTTTCATTCATGTCTGGTTTTCTAATTGGTTGTAGGTGGTAAGAATTGCATCCGCGTGCAGAGTTATTGAAATATTTGCCACCTAATCTAAGTTATATTTATGCAATTCAGTTTGGTTACTTACAAACTGGGAATAAGTTCTTAGTTATATAGCTCAGCTAAAAAATGCAAAGCCCCCATAAGATTGAAGTACTATATGGTCATGTTCGACATTTTCAGGTATGTCACTACCTCTACGGCTATAGAGCTATTCAGAAGAACATATACATGAGGAAAATATAGTAACATGTATTTGGCCTGCCATTTGTTTTTGTTGGCCTAATTTACCAATCAAATTATATTTCCTTACTGATCTTCTTTTTGTAGGTATTTCCGGCATACTATGATGAATTGAGCTAAAGAATTAGGACAGACTGTATGGTGCATCTATTCATTCCATGGACATTCATCGCCTACTACTCATGCACCAAGTCAGAAGGAAAGCAAGTTTGTATCCTATAAGTTCCACGCTCGAGATAACTTTTATCTCTACTCCTATAAAAAAATTATTTGATGATGATGGTGTGTCTGTCATCAGTCATTTCTGACCATTAGATCTGCACAGTGGCGTACCTAGGGGTGTGTCGGGTGTGCCATGGCACATCCAAAATTTAGTTTTTTTACCGTTTAGTAATAATTAGGTGATTTTCAAGGCCCATCTAAACCAGTTGTAAGAGACCTCAATTTTTTAAAGTGTGCACACCCTTTATTTTATTTCTGCGTCCGCCACTGGATCTGTATCTAACGACTGTGAAGTAAGTTGTGGCCCTTTTGCAACAATAGCCCACTTCTCTGCTCCAATTTGCAAAAAAAACCTTAATATCTTGAAACCAACCACATCCCTCCCTCACATCATCAAAACAGCCCCAGGAATATATTTTGAGTGAAACATAATATATTTTTTGTGATATATGTTCATCAAAACTGGAGTGTTTTCTTTTGAGTTTGTTAACAAGTATTATTCTACTTTGAATCCGTTGCAACGCACATGCAAATTTCTAGTAACAATCTAAATATTACCCGTGATATCCTTGACACAATGTTGGTTTTAGATGCACACCTTTATCAAGCTAGATTTGTTGCGTGTGCATTGCATGTTGATGTAAATTGGGCTTCACTAATTTTGTGTTTGTCCATTATTTTCGAAGTCTGCCCTGATGTACATGGTTAGCAGTCAGGGAAACTAGATATAGTTGATGTTTGATTATAGTTACTTAATGGTGTGTTTACCCTTTTGCAAACTTTTACATACTCATCTAAATTTGAGATTTGAGCCAGTAGAGACAACACATCGTGATCTTTTAACCTTGCATTCCGTGTCATCCCCCATGGTCCAGCAGTCCGTGTCGTTGTCCTCGTGCCTCGATGTGTGGTGCTGAAGAGAAGAACGATGGCCTCTGCCACTGCCATGATAGACGGCGCATGCAGGTGGCTGCAGGGGGGAGGTGCGACAGAGGGGGCTTGTGCAGGGGGGGCGGCGATGCGCGGCGGGGCGACAGAAGCTACAAATCGTCTCCTCCTGCGGAGTATGGCCTGCTCGGCGCAGTGTTTGGTCTGCAGCCTCTACCAGACTCTCTCTCCTCCCCGTGACTTCTCCTTTTACCAATACCTGATACTTGCATAACTTAATTCGTTGTTGCACAACTTCATTTGCTTTGTGGCAGCAGAGGAAAGGGGGAGAAACTGCGTCCATTGTACCACTACCATGCTTGACCTTTGAGTAACATTTGTTTTATAGGAGAATTCGATGTGTGTTCTGAAGTAAGAAGATGACCGCTATCCTATTTCTTATGTAGATTCTAGACGATACACTTGTACGGTTGTGCTAATAGATGAGTCTTAGACCATGTATATTCTCTAATTTCCCCCTTAGCTTGAACCATCTATTTAACCAGACAATGTCGCGGCTAACTCTAAGAGGAAAAGTTTATCAAAATTGCTCAGAAGCTTGTGGTAGTTCATCTATCTTGCAAGAGGATCTGAGGAAAATCTGATTCAACGCAACGGGAGGGGAACTAGCTGTGGTAATTTTGGGTACTGCCCGCAGATTTTGTACATAGAACATCAACCATCGTCACTGACAGTGGTAGTACTAAATGTGTCCGATCTTCTTCGGCAGATATATGTACTGCTGATTTGGTACATATAGCTTCTATCCTGCTAATTTTGTTGGTTTGTTGAATTATCTTCTTGTAATATACATGCATCAGCTTACTCAAGATAAACTTCCTGAAGAGGTCCGCCTATTGCTTGATGACGCTGTTGCCGGAAACACGGCCAAGGTAGCTGTGCTCCTCATGATGGAGCAGCGCCTGGACATGAAGGTATTATTTGGTGAATTCCCCTGCAGTACTAGTCATTCAATGACTCCAACTTCACAAATTTAAATGCGCGAGGTGCTGCTCCCCAACAAACAACTCCGACCTCTGCCTGAGGCAAAGCTCAGCCAAAGGTGTGACATGGAGCGTGAGAAAATATAAGATTTGGTCAAAGTAAGTTTGACTTTGGAAACGGAGGAAATATGTTTCATCATGATAAGATAATCTTCTAGTCTGTTGATCAGTAGATAAGCAGAGTGATAAGTCGTAACCCTTCAGCAGTCAATCAGATAGCGAAATGTGGACTGTACACGGTCGTTTCGGGTCAGCGGATGAGGTAAAATCATGTCGCACCGACAGTATAACACAGCGCGATTCGGCTTACCCTCTTGAGAGCATCTTCAACGGCCGCCCCAAAAAGCGCGCGCACGCGGTAAACCGAGTTTTAGCGCGTGCGGGACGTTTCGGTGCGCTCCTGCATTGGCGGGATACTCACGCGCGCGGGGAAAAAGGCGGCAGCTCGCACGTTATTTTTGGCGCATCGCTTCCGGCGCGCATTTAAATTGCGGCGCTCGCCACGCGCCTATTCCACACACT